TTTATTGAGGGGCCGTTCCCCTGTGAGAAGTGGGGGCAGACAGGATGGATACCGTAGAGTCGAGTCACCGGTTTCATACTCGTACCGGACGAGGAGTCTAAGTCGAGACCTGTCTCCCATCGGAGGATACCGCGATGAGGAGGAGGAAGAGGACGGCTCTCAGCTGAGTGGGTATTATAGCACGCTCCGATCCAATTACAGTAGAGCTAACAACAACGTACCTGAGCCGAGGAGGAAGGCCTACAAAGAGAGCTCAAAAGACCTCAGCATCTGAGGGGTCGACTAGGAAGGACACCATACCCAGAGCCCACTGTCCACACGAGCCTTCATCCAAGGACTGCACAGACCCTGGATACTAAATTATTGATTTGAAAACTGGTGTTTTCTCATGGTTGAACATCTTTACAACTCTCAACAGCAGAAGAATGGTTTCTTTTCTTTCCATCGAAGTGTCATTTTGGTTTCTTTCATGACCCTTTTTATAAATCTGCTAGCAGTTCTACAGAGTTTGACAACTATGTATAAAGAAAACGATTATGTGCCTAACAGTACCATTCTTGGTGTTTTCTTTTTGTTTTTCTTTTGTTTTGTTTTACAAAGGACAGCCTTTTGGACTACTGTCCGATTCTGAAACCTTCTGTTACAGAGAGCCCTCTCATGCACCGAGCAGCTCAGTCAATGTGGTGCTCAGACATATACTGTGCATGTCTTTACACTTTCAATGTCTTTTCTCTCTTTTATTTTCTTTCTCTTCCCCAGTGCCACTGTTTTTTAGACATTTGACCAGAGTATAGCACAAGCCTGCATTCGTTTGTATATTTTTGACAGTTTGCAGTATGTGTACATTCAGAGGTGATCATTTTAAAAGAATGAAGGGATAATGAAATAAAAACTATGATGATAATGTTCAAAAAATAAAAACAGTATATATACACATTTTGATGGTCTTTCTTATAATTATCATGCTCACAAAGAGGAAATGGGCTAGTTAGCTGATCGAGCGGAGGATAACTTGGACTGTGAAATGTATTCAAGATGGATGCGTGTGGGAGGTATAGAGATGGTGTTTAACTGCACTGGGTTCTTTAACACTTTGCCAACATGTCTGGAAAATAAAGAGGAGGAGAGAACAAAGACTTCTTTATCTTCTTGACAGTTCAAAAGGTGAAGGAAAAGAGATTCAATACACTACCCACGGAGTCGACAGCTTTTTAAAAATCCAGTGAGAACGACTCCTCTCGGGCTATCATATGAATAAGAGACTGAGCGTTCCTCTCTGGCTTAAAGAGAATGATGTGAATGCATAAAAAGAGAAGCGCATCAGGTGTACTTTGTTCTCCACTACAGCCCTGGTAGGGATAGACTGGTTTGGGATAAGAGGGAATTATTATGTCCTAACTTGAACAACACAACTTTACAGAATGATCATAAAAATTACAGATCCAGAAAAGTGTTTTTAAAACCTTTGTTTATGTCTTTTTACTAAACTTTCAGTTACTTTAGGTTTGCCCAACAAAATCTAGGCCTTAAAACTATTTAGTTAATGCGGGCACAGTTTGGTCTATAGCTTTTAAAAGGTAGAAATTATGATTTTAACAGATGAAAAGATGAGAAGAACAATGTGTGATTGAGGGTGCTTTCACACCTGTAGTTCGGTTCATTTGGTCCGGACTAAGGGCGAAAAATGATACTTTGTATCATTTTCAGGCGTTTTGGTTCCTTTTCACACCACACTGATTGCTCTGGTCCGAATCAGATGATGAGTTGATGAAACGAACCAAAATGCAGTCACGTGACAACATCCACATCACTCGTTGGCCAGAGGTAACTGCACTTCGATTGGTCAGAATCAACGTGCGGGAAAATTCCAGAGCTCCCGGAAGTAAACAAAGAGGAGGAAAATCCGGCAGACAGCGTTTGACTATGGAGAGTCTACGACTGCGTGGGCTGATAGTATCCCTGGTCATAGTATATTACTTTAGGCAAACAATTACATTTCATAATGAATCGAGGATGCGGCTTGAACAAAATGTTTTAATGCACTGCACGCGGCGAAGTCGCACCTCCTCAGAACTCCACGTTTGTCCGCGAGCTGCATGCTAGTGCAAAATGTCAACAAACATTATTCCTCATCCCATAAAACACAGCGCGGCTGACTACGGCAGCTGGTTTAGTCCAAAAATACGCAGTTCTCTGACAGTTGGGTCTGTTCGAGTTCGGATCACGTTCTCACCACAAACGAACCGCTCCAGAGTTCGTTTGAAAGCGTACCGAGACCACCTCTTCGAGGAGGTCTCGGTACGCTTGTTTGGTCCGCTTTTGGTGCGCACCCGAGTGCGATTGCTGCTTTCACACCTACCCAAACGAACCGCACCAATTCGGAAAACGAACTCTAGTGCGATTCAACCGAACTAAACAAGGCAGGTGTGAAAGCACCCTGAGAGTTCTCTAATATCTGGCACAAGACAAAAGTGTTTGTTTGATTCATTCCTGGAATGAGTGTTAGTTGAGCTACCTGGTGTGTTATTTTGACCTCATTTTAGTCCCACTGCGGCATCCAAGAATAGAAGGCCTACATTTTGGAGAATGAAAAAGAATTGGAGTGACGTAAGCTACAGACTACAGCCGTGCAAAGTATGCTGACTTCCCAACATCTCAATCCAAGCAAAGAAATCTGTCTGTCTGTCTGTCTGTCTTTATCTATCTATCTATCTATCTATCTATCTATCTATCTATCTATCTATCTATCTATCTATCTATCTATCTATCTATCTATCTATCTATCTATCTGTCTGTCTGTCTGTCTGTCTGGTGTTATCTATCTGTCTGTCTGTCTGCACTGTAAATTATATTTTTAGTATTTTATTAGTACATTTTTAAGAACAATCAACTTGGCTATTTAAGTCATTTCAACTTAAATGACATTAAACTGATTTTAAAAAATGAAAATTTAAAAATTGCTTAACTTATTTTAATGAGTTGATATAAAAATATGTTATAACTTATTGCTCATATAATTTTTTACAGTCTGTCTATCCATCCATCTATATATGCTAGCATTCGTGCCCTTCTCTTCTTTTTATGCAGGTTTGAATTTGTATTCTGTTGTTCATCAGGGGGAGGGTAGGAGGTTTCTGGGTTGCTATAGTTACCTCAAGGTCATTTTTACAGAGTTTCATAGACATTTGTTTGCACAGAGCATGGTTCAAAAACCATATAACGGTGATATAAAAAAGTGATCATGGAAACATTGATTGGACTTTAAATGTTTATTTTCCATGCTCACATACATGACAGAAAATGCATGCATTTGTTTAGAGTTGACTTGGCAGTCGATGTCATTGTGTCAATGGTGCCTTGATCATTGTTTGGTAAAGTTTTGCCACGAACTGTTAGTTATTGTAGTCTAATTAAGTTTAACATTAAGTATAAAACCAACATTGCCAGTTACATTTAATAAGAAAGGGACTCTTTAATTCATTCTCTGAAAACCTTTGTATAAATCTTGATCCTGTTTAGCACACATTGTTTTGCAGCTGGTAAAAGATAACATTGAGAATGAATTTTTGCAGTGATCAGTACAGCTCAGATGATGTTTGCATTTACTTGATTGATATTCTGGTGCTACGCAGCCGGTTTATTCTGCTCAATTTAATTAAAACTAAATGATTTTGATTGATTCGTTCATGCTGATTCATAAAATTGATTATATGTGGGTTATATAAAGAAATAGAAATAATATATACAATCTTATGCCTACCGAGCATGCATTTGTCGGATCAAAAAAATTGATGATATTAGTATATTTTTATTACATATTATTACATCTATGCATTATAAAATATTATTACAATATTAATGCAAATTAAATTTGTTTTCTATTTTAATATATTTTAAAATGTAATTTATTCATGTTATGGCTAAACTGAATTTAGTTTTCAGAAATCCTTCTAATATGCTGATTTGCTGCTCAAGAAACATTTCTGATTATTATCAATGTTGAAAACAGTTGTGCTGCTTAATATTTTTGTAGAAACTATGATGCATATATATATATATTTTAAAGATATCTTGTAACAATGTAGAAGTCTTTACTGTCACTTTTGATCAATTTGATGCATCCTTGCTAAATAAAACTATTAATTAAAAAAAAAAATCTTAGGCCTACTGACCTAAAATATATATAAAATCCCAATTATGAATATAATGTATAAAATCAGGATTTAAACCCAGGTCCTCTTGCACACCAAGGACCCTATTTTAACATCTAAGCACGTGGTCTAAAGTGCAGGGCGCAAGTGCACTTAGAGCATGTCCGTATCCACTTTTGCTAGTTCAACGACGAAAAAAATTGTCGGCGCACCTGGCACATGGTCTAAAAGGGGTTGTCTCTATTCTCTTAATGGTTGTGTTTTGGGCGTAACGTGCAATTATCCAATCAGAGTCTCATCTCCCATTCCCTTTAGAAGCCAGTTGTACTCGCGCCATGGCGGATTCGCTTTTTACATGGCGGAATTTGCAAGCGGAAAAACTGAACGCTTCTCTAGTGAGGAAACGGATCTGCTCGTGCGCAAGGTTAAAGCTCGCAAGCAGCCCATCTACTGGACAAGCCGGATTTCACCATATCTTTATGTACACAATAATAATCTTTTACATTGTAATCCTTTTATTTTTAATATTTGGCATGTTTGTGTGCTGTCCCTGTGAGTGTAATAAGCAGAATGTCCACGTGTTGTGCACTCGCCTATAGGCGCATATTATCAATGCGCCCTTTAAATAACAAATTTTGCGTATTTATTTAAATCTATTTCAGTTGCCTGAAATAGCAACGTTTTGCAACCTCGTTTTCAGACCAGCGCATGGGCGCACAAATAGGCGCAAATGCATTTGCTATTTAAACAACGTGGCGCAGGACATGAAAATGATAACTGCGTCGGGCTGAAACTAGCATTCACAGTCTGAGCTGTATTGAAACGCCCGAGATATTAGTATACAAGTCCATCTGCCGTTTCAGAATTTTCCATATGTCCTTACAGGGAAGTTGCTGCCACAGGTAGCAGGCAGTTGAATTGTGTATTCCGCAAATAACCTTGAGCGTGACCCTCAGGCAGAAGATGCAGAGCTGGAGGAGACGGATGAGGTCTCTGTCTTGGACTTTGAGGTGGAACTTGCTTCCTCCTCGTCGTGGAATGGATCGTTTCCACAGAACAATATTAACATCACGGAGTGACGGAACTGCTTATTCATGAAGATGTAAATGAGCGGGTTGTAGAGCGCTGAGCTCTTGGCAAAGAATGCTGGGATGGTCATGAAAATGGGGCTGAACTGACTCCCCTGGTGGGTGAAGATATACCAGGCGACGCTGGCGTAGGGGAGCCAACATATTAGGAAAGCGATGACCATGAGGATTACCATTCGGGTAACTTCTCTCTCGGCCCTCTGGGTAGTCTCGGATTCCTGCTGCTGGGCGGCTGCTACCTTGACAGTGCAGAGCAGACGGCCGTAGCAGAAAGAAATGACCATGAGAGGGATCGAGAAGTGCACGACGAACATGTAGATAACAAAAGACTCGTTATCAGTCTCAGGATTCAACGTGTAATAATCCACTCCGCACGAACACTGCAAGCCCTCGGGAATGTAGCGGGACCATCCGATTAGAGGCGGTATGGCACACGTACAGGCCATTGTCCAAGAGAAGGCGACACCGAGGGTGGCGTGGAGTTGCGTGAAGCGAAATTTGGTGAAGGGCTTGCAGACGACCACCCATCTCTCAACAGCCAAGACAACCAGAGACCAGAGCGCGATCTCACCGCCGAGGGTAGCGAACAGGCCCTCCATGTTGCAGCCGGCACGTCCCAGAACGAAATATCCATGTAAGGAGGTGTAGAAGGTGGTCGTGAATCCACCAAACACCATAAAGAGGTCAGCCACGGCTAAGTTCAGAAGGATGTAGTTCAGGGGGGTTCGAAGTTTCGTGTTTTCAACGGTCACATACAGCGTGAGGCCGTTGATGGTGGTGCAGGTAATGATGAGGAAGAACATGTACGCGGCGACACAGTAAAACGCCCCTTGCGATGCCAGGTAGTATTGTGGGTACTCGTATGGGTTGCGCACCACGCCGGTCTCATTAGACATGGGGATGTAAAAGTCCGGTCCCTCCGTGCCATTCATGATCGCTGGTTTGTTTCTCCACCCCTCGCTGTAGGTTTGTTTGGTCTGGGAAAGTGAGCACACTGCGTTTAGGTGCCTTTATAGGATAGATTATAGATTAGCATATTTGACTGCTCAGCAGAATATGGTTTAGACAATGCTTATGTTAATCTCTGCCTGCACTGACACACTTCCAGTACACTCATCGTGTGATCAGGTTATGTGGATTTAATCTGTCTATATCAATTGGGGTAAACAGATCAGTTGTTGTGTAGAGAAATTTAATACAACACACCTCATGTTGTCTTCTTATTCAGTGTATATCTTTAACATATTCATTCATTAATAATTTTACTCCACAACTAAAGAGTCTAAGAGTAGACAAATGAAAATATACATGACATTTTTTCTGCATAAAGATTTTAGGTTAAAAATAAAAGTGAAAGTTTTATTATATAGATTTTTTTATTATATTGTATAGGATTTCTTTTCTATATTTGATGTTGCTTTTGTAAGTTATTCACTAGTGTTAATAAGATTTTTGTTTTGATTTCTATTTTGTAGATTTAATGCTAATAATTTATATTTGACCCTAAAGTGCCTTGAGGTATTAGTTAAATTCAAAACAAAAGCTGTTGAACATTTCTATAGTATGAGAGGAATTCGTTCGTTCGTTCGTTCGTTCGTTCGTTCGTTCATTCATTCAGTTTCTAATTTTCAGGATTGTCCTTAAATTCTAGTTGTGGTCAAAAATAGTCTAGAAATGATACTTTGTAGACATGTTATTTAAGGAAACTTTGGGGAATTTTTAAAATTATATTATTAGAATGTATGCCTAGTTATATTCTTATTTTAGAGCCTAATTTTGCATATTTAAATCAAGTTATATTTTATAGCATATTTCTTTTTCGAGAAGCATCCATTTTTAAGACAGATCTTTAAAGGGATAGTTCACTTTGAAATTAATTTTTGGTATGTTTTAGCTTACCTCAAGGCCATCCAAGATGTAGGTTTCTTTGTTTCCGCAGTAGTTTCAATTTTGATATTTTTAGGTCAAACCGTTCTTGTCTGTCAGTCATATAATGCAGGTCTACCACCTCAAAGAGCATGCACAGAGAAGTCGAAAATTAAACATGATTTAATGACTCGTAAATGTAAGTAGCCTACAAATTGATGGCCTAAGACACGAAACGAGCGGTTTGTGTGAGAAAACGAACAGTATTTATATCGTTTTTACCTCTTGTAACCACAGCCACGTCCAAGTGATCTGAGGGCGTGGGCGCTTCGGTCTGCGCAAGCGCCGGAAAGCGCCGGAAGTGATCTAAATATGGTTGTGAACAAAATTCAACGTTGTCTGTTGATATATCGAAAACGTCTTCCATTGCGATTTCCTGTATATCTAAATATGTTTAGATCTTCACAGTGAAAGCAAGGTAACACTTCCGAAATCTCTGTGTAAACAATGAGTGACGTACACGCGCGAGAGATCACTTCCGTCACTTTCGCAGACCAAAGCGCCCACGCCCTCAGATCACTTGGACGTGGCTGTGGTTACAAGAGGTAAAAACGATATAAATACTGTTCGTTTTCTCACACAAACCGCTCGTTTCGTGTCTTAGGCCATCAATTTGTACTTACATTTACGAGTCATTAAATCATGTTTAATTTTCGACTTCTCTGTGCATGCTCTTTGAGGTGGTAGACCTGCATTAGATGACTGACAGACAAGAACGGTTTGACCTAAAAATATCAAAATTGAAACTACTGCGGAGTGCGGAAACAAAGACACCTACATCTTGGATGGCCTTGAGGTAAGCTAAAACATACCAAAAAATAATATCAAAGTGAACTATCCCTTTAAGACCACTATGATATAATGTCTGATGTTTTATTATTTTATTATTTGACTTGAGCAATTAATTTAGTCAGGACTTGATATTCAGCCCTGGGGACATATGAAGGCTATAATTCCATATTTCTTTCAAAAGGAAATTCTAAATATGCTTATAATTTCATATGGTTTAATATCTTTTCCATGAAGGGACAGTGTCACGTCAACAGAAAAAAAGAGATGAGATGAGAAAAAGGTTTAACGTCAGGAGACAGCATGAACGCTCTGTGCATTTCTTGGGCAACAACTTCCCATGCGCCATCTTGTGGTGAATATTTGAAATGGCAGTTTGTCTACACGGCGAACCCATTTATTTATTTGTTTGTTTGTTTGTTCTTTTTTATCATTATTATTTTGTAATGAGCATATCTAAAATCCAGAAACTGATGAAGTCATCATGTTAAATATTGATTATATTGACAGTTTATAATTGTCTGTGGATATCTGTCTTGACAATTTATTTTATTGATCTACAGTACATTTGAAGTATGATCAAAACAGAATTTTACAGTTTACAGCAATGTTATATTTAGTTTAATGGGCTGTTTGAATGGACCACATTGGGGCCCATACAGGGGTCCTTCATTGGCACATTAGTCACACCCTCTACTGCTGACACGCAACCCTGCAAGAGTATGCAGAATACTTCCATCCCTTTCCACCAGATATGAACTCATCATTATGTAATTTATGTAATATTGTCACAATTTTGAACTGGTGTGATTCAGTACTTGGATTTATCGCTTCCAAAGAAGGATTCATGAAGTCCACTTCTCTATTATGTCTTGTACATATTTGTTTAGTTTGCTTAGACAAAGTCATTATAATTTCACATGCTTCACTTTGTACTTTTCGATTTTTTTTTCTATTCTATTCTTTTCTAAATTCACCTTTTTGTAATTAGTTAAATTTTGTCCTTCAGTTTTATATAATTGTTGATTAGCATTTTTGGTACGTTTACTTTTATTCGAAATGCAGAGAAACTAAAACTGCAGTACTGGAGTGTGAGCCATTGCACTCACAAGTTTCTTTGAAATGAATGCTGTATTTTCTCAAACATCAATCTTTCACTCTCCTGGAGCTTTTGGAGGACTGGCTGTTTATCAGCATCGGGTTCTTGACTTTGACGAGAAATATGGCCTGGGGAGTTGAATTATTTCATTCCAGTAGTGTATTAAATTATCTGTGCCTGTGACACCGAAAGACCAAACAAAGCTCTTCTCACATCAGCAGAACTTCCCGTGTTATGTGTCTTAAACAGCACTCTTATCTCTCTCTCTCTCTCTGGTCCTTTAGTGCTGGCTCTCTTGATAAAACTTACACGGCTGTATATTATTCTGTTATTAATACCTCAGGATCAAAAGCTTTTTGTGCTAACTGATGGGAACAGGCTGTTTCTTTGACGCATTCTGGGTTGTATCTTCTCCAAAGATCCCCTCATCCAAAGAAGTGGTCCGTCCGTCCGTAATTTATATAGCAATTTAAAAAAAATGTATAAGAATATATCAGACTGAAACACATAGCCTAGATTTAATTTTTCATTCCCATTAGCATTAACTTTCAAGGCTGGGCTTCCTAATGTGTTTTCGATTGCTGTCCTGATGGAAATGAATCTTTGTTATATAGATTTTAAGAAATATTTGCCTGTATATGACACCATTTATGTCCCTTTTGATGGCAGTACGCTTTCCACTTCCTCCCACTGAAAGCCCAGAACATGTTTCTGCCACACTTGATAGCAATTGTGGTACTTCGGTGTCAGTCTATGTTTGGTTTGTGCCAGACATAACATTTGGCTTTCAGGTCAGTTTTAGTGTTGTCAGACTACAATATTTTCTTCTGAAAGGTTTTAGTCTAGTCACCCTCCCAAAGAGCAGTGTTAAAGAAATTACTGATGTCTGGATAGTGTCTCCAGTTTTAGCCAGAGCGTTGAAACTCTGTTAGTGTTGCAACTGACCTCTTGATCTGACAATCGCTCTTCTTGTCCAGTTGCTCAATTTGTCTGAATTTTTTGCCACAGTGGACTTCAAAAACACTCCTTTCAAGGTTTTCCAGGATTTTGCCTATAATAACATCTTAACATTAATTTCTGCTTTGGGTCACGGGTTGGTTGTATAAATCGCACAAAGATGAAGGAGAATCAGTATAATAATATTTATTATCAAAAGCTCAGGAGATCAGAGAGATATAACCAAACTAACACAACGTAACACTGACGAGAACAGACAGAGAATGAAGGAGAACTCAGGGTGTAAATACATGGACCAAACAAAGGGAACTAATGATAGAATTAATGAGACGACAGGTGAACATAATGACTAATCAAACACAGAACCAAAACACAGACTAGAACTGTAACAGTAGTTCCCCCTCCCGGAAGGTGCGTCCTCACACCATAAAGAGTTCATTTGAGGAGGGAGGGAGGGAGAGCCGTGGCGGCAATCCCCGAGGTGGAACCAGGGTACCGGAGGGCTGAGGTGGAGCCGGAGCGACTGAGGGCAGGGGTAGAGCCAGACGGAGTCTTAGGGGTGGACAGATGGCGCACAGCAGACGGCTCGCAAGTCATGGCATAGGCGAGGCGATGTCCGACCGAGGTGGAGCCAGAGGGTCGAGGGAGCCCGGTGGAGCAGTAAGGCCGATGGTCTCAGGTGGAGCCGAGGGAGGGAGGAGGTATCTGGATGATGGGCCGAGGTGGAATGACGGGATCAGTGGCTGGAGGCGGAACCAGGGGATCCATACATCCAGATGGCGTTGTTAAACTGCTGGCCCGAGATGGATCCACACAACAGAGGGATGGTAGAGGAGGAATCGAGGGGCTGAAGGGAGACCGTGGCAACTGGGCAGAGGAACTAGTAGAGGTCTGAAGAGGAGGTGGGCGAGGAAGGCTGGGAGGGGATGCTGGAAGCACAGGATAATTTTTGCAGGGGGGAACCAGCGGAGGCACAGGGAAACTAATGCTGGGTGGAATCAGAGGAGGCAGGGGATCATACTCTTCAAAACAATTATCAAAATAAATAAAAAATAAAGTCCAGTGGCAGCTCACCCTCTGTGCCAAGAGTGTGGACGGGGGCCCACTCAATTCCCTTGAACTCTAGGAGGACTGGTCAGACGATCGTCGAGGGTCAGGCTCGGGAGCGCTGTCAAGCTCTGTCCTTTTTGTCGGCTCCGGCTCGTTCCTTGCGGCAGGCTGAATAC